ACGGAACCCGGAGGAGGCCTAATCTGTGTGATCTTTGGGAGGTCTTTGGGAGGTAATTGGCAGCAGGCGGTCTCTCAAGTACCCAGGTCCAATACCATGAAGGGCTTTATAAGTGACAACTAGCACCTTGAAACGTATCTGGAGACCAATCGGTAACCAGTGCAGCTCGCGGAGGATAGGTATAACGTGGGTGTACCGAGGTGCATCCACAATCGCTCGCGTGGCTGCATTCTGGATCAGCTGAAGTCTCCGAATGCTCTTCAAGGGCTGCCCCATGTAGAGCGCATTGCAGTAGATTCAGAGAGTGAGGAGGTTGGGGAGGAAGATGGGCCAGTCCTGGAGTCTGGGGAAGGCTCTGATGAGGGCTCTGTGTTGGGAGCAGAGAGGGGGCCAGGGCCATATGCCAGTTATCAGCTGCCTTCAGAGTCAGACATCAGGGAGGCAGAGGAATAGCTGGAGCCTGTTCCCAGTGTGCGCATGCACAGAATTACCAGACGAAGGGAACAGCTAAAGAGCAGGGGTCAACTTGGGAGTAAGGCCACAGGTGGACGATGGATGGCCCCTCCCCGAAGAAATAAAAGAGGAGTGAAAGGGGAGTGGAGTTTGCAGGAGACAATTAATTCATTTAATTGGTTCGTGACTCTCCGAGACTCCTTGCCAAGTTTTGCAGTTATTGGCCTGGCAGCTCTCCAAGCCAGATAAGGTCTGTGACTGTAAATCCTCCCTTGAAAGACTTTGCTGTATGGGAATGAGCAGAATTCACAGTAAATGAATCAAAGGGGTTTTTTGTCAGGACAAGGAGTTTGTTTCATGGTCTCGGGAAGCCTCGGTCAGAACAGAATAACTGGAAAGAGTAAAAACTTGTTTCCTGGTGCCCTTGCAGTCTCCTTCAGCCCAAGAGGAGAGTCGATGGGGAAATCAAGACCGCAAAGATATCTGAGCTCGCTCTTTGCAATCAAGGAGCTATTTTAGAAATCCTTTTTAGAAAGATGCCTTTAGGGCTTCCTCGACAGAGGCACCTGGCAGCTACAGAAGTCTCTTTTGTAAACGGACAGAGCTGAAGTACCAGTTATTAACCCCCGTCTTTCCAGAGCCAGCGAGGGAATCGCTAGAGTGAAAAAGGAGAGCAGTAAACAGAAAAATATTATTTCGCACGGACCATAAAGTAGGTCTGATTCTCCACTTGGAGTGAAGTTCAGCAATGCTCTTTGGGTTAGTCTCTCTTTCAAACCGGCAAATTTCACTGAATCACACTGTAAAGATTAAAAAGGATGAGAAGGGTTTTTTGGGGAGGGGGATTTTATAAGTGCTATGGCCAGGGTAGATTGCCGCCTTATATAGGAAAGCTATGGCAAATCTAGACAGCATCCTAAAAAGCAGAGACATCACCCTGCCAACAAAAGTNTGCAGTAAGGTGGTCAGTTCAGCATCTAGAAACTTCCTCCAGCACAGCAATGATTCCCCTCCCAAATACCATGCCCCCCCTCCCCGTTTCAATGGTAGCTGAAGCAGCAGCAAAGCAGAGGCTGACAAGCATTTTACTACAGGTAGCATTTTGTATATGAGCAATTTTCTTCCTAGAAAAATCTGACTGTAACAAATATGTCCAATGTCTATCTTCCCCAACCCAAGTACATTGGAATTCTATCCTGGTTTAATGTTTGATTGATTTTTGTATTAACAGTACAAATAAACATATTTGAAATGATTACATAGAACAGTACTTTTACTTCAAATCAG